AAAGAATACTTAGAAAAGGTATACGCTAAATTGGAAAAAAAAAAAAAAAAAAGGCATTTTTAAAATTCTAGAACAAAAGCACTTCCTTTTGGGATTTTATCTGTATAAACGATAGCAACACATGTACAATGGTGCGAGTATACTGGTAAAATCACCCGCATACATTGGCACATATAGGATACCTACAGTACCAATCTTAGCCTGTCCTGTGATTAACACACCAGGGATCAGTATACAATTGAAAATTAAACCTTAAGAGGTATTCAGGTCAGGAAACCAATCATTCTTCCCTAGTTTCAACAACAACCTATTTAAGACCAAAATGGTACAACGTGAGTTCAGCCCATCTATGTCAAGCTTGCCATGGAAAACAGAAGATCTGTCAGTTCCATCACAGTTATTTGTTAAATGCCAGAAAGCCTCATTAACCGAGATAGAGAAGCTTCATTTCTACAACAATGGGAAATATAGTAACTTTGAATGAATCATCTTTAAGCTATAATGTATCTTAGGAAAAAAAAAAAAAATCAAGTAGGAAAGGAGAGCTTTGTTTCCAACCAACTCTCTGGCAAGCTGCTACACAAATTAGCAGAGGTCTCAAGTGGTCCAGAAGCCTGGAATAGGATCATAATCCCAGGAAGAAGAAAAAAAGGTTAGTATACAGTTTGCAACCAGGATGTCAAAGATGCAGATAAATTAAAGCTTCCTACCATACGTTCATTCATTTCATAAACCTGGTTTAACTACGTGGCTCTGGCCCCAGATCTGTCCCACAAATACTTATCTCAAAATTTTATGTCAAAAAACCCCAAAACAAAAGCCATCCTCCAACATCCTTCTTAGCACTCTAGCAGCCTACTACTTCATGGTCAATATCCAAGAACATGGTGAGTTGCAATCAGTACAGTCTGATCTAAGACCATGCTGCTGCCAAAACAGATGGTGATGCTAAGGAGGGGGTGGGGAAAACACGACTGCAAAAGGAAGGAGAAGAGGTAGTGCTGTTGCATTTGTAGTATCCTCAGTCACAAAATCATAAAAGCAGCCATAACAGATCAACCAAAATCTACGTAAGCAAATATCCTGCCTCACACAATGGTCAAAAGTGGGTATTTAAGAAAGAAGATAAGGAACAGGGAAGTGTACACTATCCCTTCCCCAAGTACGTTCTCAGATAAGTCATTTATGGTTCAGATTCCCAAGCTGAAAGCAGTTTCTATGTATTCAATAACCCTTAAAGGATTTAATTTCTATTAATCTTTCAAGCCTTCACCTCATACATATATTCAGAACTGGACTGAATATTCCACGTGAAGAAAAACTGCTACAACAGTGCAGTACCAGATTCTATAACTTAAGGACATAATCAAGGAAAACGTTCTCAGGAGCAGCTACAGGTTTTATTAAGCCAACTTCTACATCTGGAGAAAAAAGCCACAGAAAAAATTAATCTGCTTCTTTAGGTCTGAATGCTTTTCCCATAGCTTTAGTTAAGGCTCTGTTTGCTCCCATGACTTATTTCTGAAAGCTGCAATCTCTAGGGATTATTCACCATTATAGTAATGTTGCTGCTACCTGCTAATTTGCCCTATGGTGATTCAGAGCCTATTATTTGCCAGAAAGCACAATCTGAATGTTCCCATTGTTCAAAATGAGCAAATACATTAACTTCATGACAGTATCAATAAACACAAGGCAAAATCCTAAGAAGCCTTTGTTTTCTCCTTCTGTGAAATAAATGTCTTGTTATCTCATCCTTACCACTAAAAGGTAAGGACTGATGCTCTTCCTGGGCTTCACCAGACAGCTTTGGCTGGAATACTTCTATTCCCACATCCTGCAGGCTTGGTCTTCATATCAAAACATTATCATGCTTGCATGGGCAAAGTATTCCCCTTGGGACAACTGATTCAACACCATAAGGCTAGATGCCAGAATGACAAAGCAAACATCTACTTATCCATCTCTGGCTTAGAGAGCAACAACTGATCTTAAAACAATAGCTGAGTGTATCTATTAAATCAAAACCCATTTACTTTCTTTTGAAAGCATGGGAGCAACAAACTGACAATCAAAATGTCATTGCTCTTTCCAAATTTGGTTTATGCAACTGGGCCTTTCCACAAATCATGAACAGATTAACTCAGGTATGACCTCATTCACATCTCCCTTCTGTGCTAACAGTCACATCCTTATTAGGAAAGGAAAAGGCATGGGCATTTAGCTTAATTACTTCCAACATGATACACCCTCCCCAATCAAACCAGAAACATACAGATATTCTGCGATATACTTGATGCTTCCTTTGGGCCGTCTTCTGGTGCATCAGAGGAGGACATTGGATCTGCAGCAGCCTGTATGAAACAAATTCAAAAGGAGGCTGGGAATTATAATGAAATGTTTTAATACATCTTTCCCCTTGTGAGTTTCCTCGATTTGAACCTACATGTAATATTCAAGCAAGTAAATAATTTAAGCAGTGTCGACAGTTCAGACATCTGTGGTTTTACAACTGTTTTTCTCCTAGCTGGACATGTATGAGAAAGAACATATTAAAACCCATTCTGTGCCTATTTTCAAAGGTAATACTTATACCTGACATGGAAGTTTTTAAAAAAGTAGTATATGATTCTAGAATAAAAAGAACAATTTTATCTCTAACACTACTACAGCAGGTCAGAAGCCTGACAAAGTTAAACAGCACTCACAAGAATACATGCATCCATTCTAGAAGAGTCCATTCAAGTATTTTATTCTGTTGGAATAAGGGTAAGATAATCACACAATATGCACACCCAACCTTAAAAAAATTATGTGCATGTTGACTTTACATATATCAGAAATCCAAGTCAAAAGGATGCAAAGAATCACAGAACCACAGCATCTGCATAGTTTTTTTTCTCTAAAGGATCAGAAGGTAATTGAAAAGATTCACAGAGACTGACTTTTTAATATCATCACTGGAAGTATCTGAGGCACGTCTTTGGCTAACAAACCTTTCCTATTTTTATCTAACAGGCAAGTTTTAAAACCTGTCCATGGAATTCAAACAATCCCAATCATTCAGCCTATGTTATCCAAGCTGGAGAGGCAGAGTTAGCAAAGAAGAGATACTTAAGAATCAGTGAAAATTCAACTATAAAATGTCTTTAGGCAAATTCAAAGTTGGATCAGGATGATTACTGGGAGAAGATGGAATTCTTGAACAACACTAAGTCAAAAAGTTAGAGACGGGATGTGAATCCATCATCATTCAAGTATCTTCCAAATGAAAGGCAGTATTAAGGAGTCAGTAAGCCAGCAGCCAAGCTCTCCTGAAGGACATCAGCTTTTTAGCTAGAATGACTGTTTTATTTACTTTGTACTTAACCTGGTAAGATTTAAAACAGGACTGTACAAAGCACATCCAATTGTTAAGAGCTTTCAACAAGAGTAATTAATTTCTTCTTGCATTCCATTAAGTCAAACAGCAATTTCCAGAAAAATCCTGGGTATCCTACCTTGGTCCCAATGAAGGTAAGGCAAAATTTATCACACATTTCATGGAGTAAGACCAAAAAGTACAACAGCTTTTGCAGTGCAAAGTTAAAACATTCACAGCAACAGATCATCCTTTCTCTACAAAGCAAAAGTCTGTTCATTGACAACTGCAAATTGCAATTACACCACAAATTGCAATTACATTCACAAATCTAATTTAACACCAGCTCAGCTTTTGATCACAACATATGGCTTGACTCTACTGCTTGCATACATAACTCCAGTCACAAAAATATTTTGGGAAAATGGATCCATTTGCAACATACGGAATTCATCCTGTCACTTCTGCTGGCTTTGTCATCATAACAACATTACAGCATTGCAGCAGGAAAAACACCAATCACATTAAGAATTTGCCCTTTTTAAAATTAATTAATAGGACACAGGAACCAACATTCTTATGTCTCATAAGAAAAAAAATTTCTTGAGGTTCACCTGTTACACCAGAAAAAGGTTTTGAGATACATGGATATGAAAGAAGAAAAGGAACAGAAAAGGGGGAGGGGGTTAAACACCTCACTTTAATTTGGCAAGGTGCTTAACCCATGTACAGCGAGATCATTTGTATACAATTAATTTGTGTAATGTGCTCACAAAACATTTTTTCCTCCCAAAGGTTTAAGCTCATAGGTTCGGCTATTTTCTGCAATTCCTCACTTGCAAGTAAATTAATACAAAAGATTTTTTAGCTTTTGCAATTGGAGGGAAAAGGACCCTGAAAATAAGCACCTAGATGTGGCAAAAAATAGCGCTCAGGCTCCCACCCTCTTTTTTTAAAGGGGTCTCACACTAGTAGTCTTGACCCTCTGAATTGCAGGCTTTCCCCAGGGATGAGTGGAAGAACTTGACCAATTCAGTCTTGACTTTCCCTGCAATTCTACTGATGAGAAAAGTCTTCAGCTCCAAGCCCTACCTCAGGCTGTTGCTCCTCTTGCATCCCTGCAGCGTAGGCTTATTTTCACCAACCACACAAGAACTGCAAGAAGTAAAAAGAATGGAAGAGAATTAAAAATTAATGGCATAAACAAGAATATTTGTTTAAGAATTGTAAGGGGGGGAAGCAGAGGTGTCTCTTCAATCACTAATAAAAGCTGAAGTACTACAACCACTGAAGATGCACAAAGTGCCACCTTTTCAACTCTGCTGATGTTAAAAAAACCCAAAACAACACAAACCACAACCCCACCTCGTCCCCCCCCCTCCCCTGCAACTAGCCTGTTTCAATCTTGTTCTTGAGTTATCTCTCAATCCAGAGCATACACTTTGAGAATATCTTGATAAACAAAGGTAGATTTAATTGAAACTTGGAATTATTTTTTTTTTCTGTCTTTGAGTCTGCAAAAATGCCTTTTTTCCACCAGGTCACTAATAAGTAACTGAAGATACAGGATGGCTATCAAAAAGGTTTCAGCATTAACAGAAATCTTGCTCAACTAAATTAGTAGTTGTGTCTTGTTCAAACAAACTCTATCAAAATAGTTTTTAGGTTAATTTTAGGAATTATCAAGACTTTGTTGCTACAAGGAACAGAAGAGCAGTCACAGTCTTAATATGCAACTGGAGAGCCATACACATTGATATCTGATCTACATCATGTTACCATGTATATATTCACAAATACACCAGGGTCAGAACATCAGCAAGATCACACCTGTGTGAAAAACCCCGAGAACTGGGTTTTCAAACCCTTAGTGAATGGTTCCCATATCTTAGTTTTAAGATTCCTTCTTCCATCCACATTGTTCAAGTCCAAAAGCTCTCCCTGAAGCTGGCAGAGTACTACTACCTGACTTTGATGGTACCCCAAGGGGACTGCACAACACACTGAACACATCACTAGTGCTCACTCTGCTTATTCTCCTTCCCTGCTATCCCACTAAAATTGAAGCGTTAGAAGAAAGTGCTGCTTCTTCACTACAGCATTTTGGGTCACCTCCCTCTGACCTATTTCATTAGGATGGAGAGCAGTCTTGACCATCTCATTCACACAAGACATTTGCCTCACTGCTCTGAGAAGCGGAGGGACAAGTTAGGCTCCTGCCCTATGCCCAAGTGAGGCTGGAGGAAGAGCCGACTGGTGCCTGGCTGACAGCCTATTCCAGCACACAAACACGATGGCAAAAGCCCCTCCCAGCCTTCCCCAAATGCAACAGTCTCCTTGAGTCTGATTAGCATCCTGGTTTCTGGCCTTTGTTTTCAAGTGAGTTGCTTTGCTTTCTAGCTCTGCTTAAAACACGTTCTTATAAAAGGAGCATTCTCCTGGGCATGCAAGTGTAACTCAGACAGCTGGCACACCTCCCTCCACACGTGTATGGACGGGGGGCTTCAGCAACTCACACCTTTGCATTGCCTACTGCTAGTGATCAGCCAGCAAACTGGAGACCACAGCTGCAGGCTGGGCAAGAAAAACACGGAGTGGCCAAGAGCCTGGCTTCTGCATCTGCTCTGGAGCAAAATGCCCACAAAACCCAACAGAGCCCCGAGCAGCCAGCAGCTACAGACACAGCTCCCAGGTTGCCAGGCAAATACCTTGTTGAAACCAAACCTACACACTGCAGACAGGCCAAGAGGTTCAGTAACAAGCCATTTATTTAAAAACATGTGAGAAGTCTGCACAGGCAACGCAACTATAATCCACTGGTTTTGCTACAAGGTATAATACAAATTTAAAACCAGGACTGTGCCTTTCCCGTTTGCAAGGAATCGAGTCAAGGAAACCTGGATGTCACAGTAAGCTGAAACAGCAGGTGAAGCTGAACTGCCCTTTTCTGCTTCAGTGTCTCTACAATTTACATGTGATGTGGACAGCTCTAAATAAGTATACCAGAAGGAAACTCCTGCCCCAAGACCTGCAACCTCAGCAGGGACACGCCAGCCCACCACACCTCACTCTGAACAGTCTGGCCTGAGCTGTCTTGTGGCACTCTGGGCTTAAGCAAACCCATCGCCTCTTTTGATCCTGTCCTGTCTCTGACAGACTGCTTTAACTGTTTGTTGACTCATGCAGTAAACCAAACTGGAGAGCAGATGCACATTAAAAAAATTATTTTTTCCCCACCCTACCAAGGTATTTTAAGCTCAGATGACCAAACAGCTGCAGGAACAATTGTGGCAACAAAACTGAAGGGACAGTACGAAGTGGAGATGCTGAAACCAACACTGCCCTCTGAGAAAATATTTGTCCAACTACAACCTCAGTTACAAGTGTTCTGATACTCTGATTTGTTCTCAATCGGTTTATGTGCGAAACACCAGTGTTTCTCTGCCAGTGAATCTGGTGGCCCTAAATACAAACTAAAGTTCTAAGCTTGGTTAAGGCCTGCTGGGGTTTGGAAACAAGTCTCTTATCTATAGGAGTGCTCCTAAAAATAGTAAAGGGCAAGTTCAGTTAGAGAATTGATTGCTATACAGAAGCATCAAGTGATTTTTTTTTTTTCCCCAAGTGACATTTATTTATTGTGTCCCATAACAGGTATACCACAACTTCTCATAACCTCAAGTTTTTCTAATTACCACAGGATTTGGCACAAACATGTGAAACCAATCAAATCCTTCTCCCCTAGCTACTTCAAAGGCCTGTAAGAGGCCCTGATGAGATAAATCACATACTGAAAATCTCCAGATAGGACAGTGCATTTCTTTCAGACAAAAGGGGAGATGCAGCTTCTAGGCACTCAGAAAGATCAGAGATTAGAAAGTATTTCTGTTCTCTTATCTGCCAGGAGACTGTCTTAATCTGGGATTCATTTCTGCTGCTGAGTGCCACCACGAATATTCCCAGAGCCAGAAGAAAGAAGAATGAGCCTGACCCATCTCCTTATGATCCAGTAAGGCTGGGTTTTGCCTCTGGAATTTTATTAAAAGGGCTCCTTGATGATTGAATTCTCGATTCAATCCCCAATTCAATCACCTTTTTCCCTAGCAAGTGGAATTCTCATGTTTGTTTAATCTTTGCTGGTCCTAGAGGGCTTGCCATTCTCTGTGTAATTAAATATTTTTCTTTATGTATACATGAATGAACAAATGAAGCCCTTCCCTCAACTCTTCAGATACCTCGGCAGCCAAACAGGAATTTTTGAGACCACCCGATGAACTGCAAGCCTAAAATTTAGTCATTACTCATCTTACTGATAGGCACCAATTTCCTTTCAAGGTCTTCTTGTCCTGACAGCGCACACAGGGCAGCCGTTCACACTGACAACAGCACTGTGGAAGAGGGGCTCTATTTCCCCCCCTACACTTTGGGGATTATTCTCTTGCCCTCACCAGAGTAAGTTCAGAAAGGAACCCACAGATAAGTGCAAGATCTTCTAGCAACGCTTATCCTGCACAGTTGCTGATAAAAGCAGAGTGAGAAAGACCTCCTGCCATGATTTTTGACATCAGTCCTCCAGCATTCCTAATGCACAACAGTTCCAGTGGAGCTTCCTCTTTGCATGAAATCTGCTCATGAACTGGCTCATTTCTCATACTGGGTAGTCTTAGCTGACCAAAGCGTTTTGGTTCTAGCTGCATATTTAGGCACCTGAAACTCTTAGCTCACTGTCTCAAGAAGACAAGAGGTGCACTCACAAGTCAGGGGTTCTAGTAAGGCAAGTTACAGGCACTAAAACACAAGCTAAGAACAAACGTCCTTTCTCATTTCATTTCAACTAGGTGGTTCACTGAGAAAATTCAAGCACAATACAAAGGATGGACAGGCAGTTCATGAAGGTATCTTCCTACAGTAGGACTGAATTTCTTTCTCTGTTATCTTGTCTACATTTGCTTCATTCAGACAGTGTTTCAGCTGACTCAATAAAAAAGCTTTTGTTAAAAACTCTCATGCTCCTACCTGTAAAACAACCTAGTCAGCTACTCTTTAAAAAGAAGATTTTTATTGAATGTTTTCTTCCTTCTGAGCTATACAGAAATTCAGAAGCAGCATTTGCTTTCTTCAATACGTTGACATTGCAAGAAGGAAAAAAAGTTCTCTGTAGTCCTCTAACTGCTCTGTATTTTCCATGTGCTGCATGTACATCAGAATAATTAGTAAGAAACCAAGAGCTACAACACTACCACAACTTGTTTCACCTTTTATTGAAAGGGAAAGTCAACAACTTTTATGTTCATTCCCCCCCGAAATGCATGTATCACTGCTTTAGATAGTCACAATACTCACTAGCACTGAAGAAGGCATCCACATCTCAGTACTCAAGAGTATTGGTCCCCCAGCCTCTGAGATAGGATTGGATGTACTTCCCTCTTTTACAAATAAAGAACTGAGGCATATGAACACTCAAATACATCTACAAACCTGACCTCTGGTATCTAAACAAGTAGTTAGGAGACTGCTTGGAGCTTTCGAAGCATTTCAGTTTTGCAATGTGAATTTTCCTTTCGTTTTAATCATTGGCTCTTCAGAAGAAAATCACCCCACACCCCGCTGGGACAGCACTTCCTCGCAGTAACACGCCAACATCACTCGTCCTCGTTCCTCTAGAGTCACAGCGAGAAAGACCAGAGGTAGGCTAAGCACTGGATTTTATTCAGGAGCAAGCTGTTGAACGATTAAGTGGGCATTCTCCAGTAAGAATATAACACACCTCACACAGGTCAGGCTGTACTTGAGCAAGAACTGACCTGTGCTGGACGTAAGCCACAGGCACACACAAATGACTATTTCAGGAACAGCCTCCTGACCCAGCCCCCCAACACCAGTACCCCTGGCCAGAACACAGCCTCTGCCTGCTCTGCATGAGACACAGCAACGGAAACTTACTTACATCTACATGCACTAAGTGTGCTGTGTTCCTTTTATCCTCTAAACCTGCAGTTTCATGAGCAACAGACATCATTCAGTTTAGGTGGTACAGGCTACGCACTTCAGATTCATACTATGCACTGCATAAGCACATCCTATGATTCTATGATTCTGATTCTGTGATCCCATTTCAA